GAAGAGAACCAACCATACCAATGTGAACCAATGATGCCGATGTGAACCAACCATACTGATGTGAACCAATCATACTGATGAGAACCAACCATACCGATGTGAACCAACGATACCGATGTGAACCAATGATACCGATGTGAACCAGTGATACCGATGTGAACCAGTGATACCGATGTGAACCAATGATACCGATGTGAACCAATGATACCGATGTGAACCAGTGATACCGATGTGAACCAATGATACCGATGTGAACCAGTGATACCGATGTGAACCAGTGATACCGATGTGAACCAATGATACCAATGATACTGATGTGAACCAATACCGATGTGAACCAGTGATACCGATGTGAACCAATGTGAACCAATGTGAACCAATCATACTGATGTGAAACAATCATACCGATGAGAACCAACCATACCGATGTGAACCAACCATACCGATGTGAACCAACGATACCGATGTGAACCAACGATACCGATGTGAACCAATCATACCGATGTGAACCAATCATACCGATGTGAACCAATCATACCAGCCTTAACTTACCACATATGTGAACCAAACAGAACAATTTGAATCCACCATTCAATTTTCATTTGATTTATTTAGTTATTTGTAAGCATCATTACATATGATTGCTGAGGCAGGATATTTTCTTTATAACAAACACTGTTTAAAAACTTGTATTAAATCAAATAAAACCATCTATGCACTGAAAACCATTATCAAAATTTTAAATTTAAAAAGTCATTTTCAATGAATTGCACGTATTTTGTTTTTAATTTATATCATTATGTACAAAATCCATACAAGAACAGCTTGCTTTATTCAATGATTTATACAGACAACTGTCATATGACATCATCATGGGTTAAATAAAATTATTATAAAATATCGTTGTATATAAAATATCATCTTATTACCTGTCACATGACCACATATTGGTTGAGTTAACATTGAAGTTTTGCTTACAAGTTGGAAATCTATTTTCACATCAACACAGAAAAGGTTGCTTTCTATAGTCTTGTTTTATGCAAGCTCAGGTCAACTCATAATCTTGAATATTTTTATTTCTACTAAATAAATGATTTTTAAAAAAAAAAAATGTCCATTGCGATTCATGTAAGAAAAACACAAATTATAATACGTATATTTTTGTTAATACTATTCTACTTTTTGCATAGAAAACTGCACTTAATGATTCGTCTTCAGCATTCAAAAAATAATCCTTTTAATGCAAAAATGGTAAATTTATGTAATAATGACAGAATGCAATAACTACTTGGAATTCATATTGGCTTGGTTTTTAGCTAAAATATATGTTTCACCTATAGGTAACCTGTGTCATTGCAGAAAGGCCCATAACACTGAATACCTTACTGAATACAGGTAACCTGTGTCATTGCAGAAAGGCCCATAACACTGGATACCATACTGAATACAGGTAACCTGTGTCATTGCAGAAAGGCCCAAAACACTAGATATCTTACTGAATACACGTACAAAATCTGATTTTAAGAAGACAATCTGAATACTTCATATCTCACAATTCAAACACATTTTGGTTAACATATTGTTGCAGGTCTTGATCAAAAGTGAAAGAAAAATGGATTACTTTGTAAAAGGTGAAAAAAGTTGACTCAAAAAATTTTAAATATTGACCCACCATGTTGCACTAAATATTGTAGTAACTAAATATGCAGTAACTAAATTATTGAAATACGCTAAATTAGTACACAAGATCACAAATAGCATGCTAGTGATAATAAACAATATTTACTATCTGAATTTTCAAATACCTCAAAGAAAGTGTTCTTGGTGTAATGAGGTGTTTATATGCAAGGGATTTATCCACCAAAACCATGAATTCAGCCAAATTTTTTTAGTGTTAATTAGCGCTTAATGTTGTCCAAACAGATTGTTCGGCTGTGGAAGTTTGGTATTTTACCCCCAATTTGTAGGAAACTGAAAAACGTGTTTCACAACTTGTCTCTTTCTTCAGTTTTAACCTTTTCCCATTTATAGTCTGCACTTTCCTTCAAAAGATTGGGACAAAAATAGCGAAAATTTGTGAGTGAGAACTGAAAATTGTCTCAAATTTTGTCTGTTGGCTCCAAAATTAGGGTTCATGTCAGAAAAATTTGTCGAGAAAGTCTGGTGGTGAAAAAGTTAAGCTGCCCCCAATATAGTAAATATCAGTAAATTTTATTATCACTTGTACGCCAGCTGACTGTGGACAAGATGTCATTGCTAAAAGAGCAGTTGGTAAATGTCATGTAATGTAATCTATTTCACTATCTATAATAGAAATACAAAATGATGACAAGATCGAGACACGATGCATTCAAACAAATAATAATGCACTCTGGCTTGCCTAGTTATCTAACTATTCAAATATCTTTGTTAGACTTGCAATGGGTTGTTTACAGATTGGACATCCTTTCTTCTCTTTGAAAAGTTTATGTGCGCAGTCTTCACAAAACTTGTAATGTGAGCATGGCAAGAACACATGTGATCTTCTTTTAATTGTACAAATGTTGCAAATATAGGGCTGAGCCTGTGAAAAAAGAATAGAAACAAAAATGAGAACAACATCTGAATCGCATCAACTCTTTCCCCAGCACTCCTTAATACAGTACTGCTATTTTTCTAATAATAACAA